CAGAATCAGATTTTTAAAATAATTGACTGGATTAAAGAACAAGATAATAAACAAAAAAACAAATCAATTGAATGGAAGCTATTACTGCGAGGTAGTCGTGATGGATTTAAGAATACCGACTTTCATCGGTTGTGTGATAATAAAGGTCCAACGATTGTTGCCATTCGCATAAAAGATGAGGAAAAGATTATTGGTGGTTATAATCCTTTTGAATGGAATTCACTTGGCATAAACTACTCAGGTTTAGATAGTTTTTTATTTAAATTTAATTCTGATGACATTCAAGCTATCAATGGAGTTCTAAGCAAATATAAACAAGGAACGAGTGTGGGATTATATGCAGCTCATGGTCCAATGTTTGGAGATGGTCGGGATTTAATCTTGGTTGGTCCCGAATTTAATACGACTAAGAATTACTGTTTGAAATCCTCCTCTTACGATCATGGTTTGTTGAAGTCTGACGGAACATCAAAGTATTTTGATATTGTGGACTACGAAGTGTATCAAGTGGTGGAGAAATAAATTTATTTTTCGTTTTCTTTTATATTATAGATTTTTATATCTTATCGCATATGCAGTTATAGCGCCATGGTCCCCTTTGCTAACCCTTTTTTAGGCTTGGAAATCGTGGTATTTTATTTTTGAAAATACGGTGTGACATTTCAACTAGAAAGCCAATAAAATAATCAAGCGAGGTCTATTATATCTATCGAATTAAATTTCAGATTTAGTCTATATCGATTATGTGTTAAAATTTGTGATAAAAAGAACTTAATTGGTTAAGAAAAATTACTTAATGTGTTGTTTAAAAGTGAGTTGCTTGATTGAAAAAATAAAACAAAAAATTAAATCGTATTTCCAAATTCCATTAAAATACATTTCTGATAATTTTTCAATGATTCTTTGGATGGTTTTGCCTGTTATCGTTCAACACTACCACTCGAAATAGGTAACCAAATATAATTTAGCACTATATTAGAAAGAATTGGAAGCTGTGCACTCAAATTTAACCAAAATTGATTTAAATCCATTTCTTAAAATCCCGTAACAAGGTCCACAATAAATTGACCACTCGTGAATCAAAGTATCGGATGGATTTTCAAGTTCTTTAATACATGTACATGTACGTACATGTATCCTTTCTGAGAATATCGGTACGTATCGGTAACTCTAAATAATCCAATTATGTAGTTAAAATATGTTAATGATACATGTACATGTACATGTATATGTAGACAAGTTCAGTGCCATCATATGAAACACAGAAAATCAATTGGCACTAATGTAACATTCATTTGGGAAAATATTTTCCCGGATTTGTCTAACCAATTAAAGGAAATAAATCTATAAATATAACAAATATTTGCACTGATTGTCTTACGTATTTGGTCAAGAACGTTTTTTATTGATGAGGGCTATTCAATGAGTTTATGGTTATCACTATAACTGGAAGGAAGATTTTGTTATAAATGCAGGACATTTGTTAAAAAGTTCTCGTAAAATCAATTTAGCTCTCGTTTTTTCTCGGTAATAAAGCAAAAGAATGTCTTGGCTACCATCAGATATTCTCGACGAAATTTTCCAACATCTTGCTGCGCTCGGCAATCCATTCGATCAACACTCACCAGAAATTTACAATAATTTATACACGTGCATATTAGTAAACAAACAATGGTGCAATATAGCTATTCCACATCTATGGCGTCATCCATTCACATCGGTTCGATCTCACGTTCAATACAAAATTCTAAAAATATATTTATCGCTTCTAGACAAATCCAAACAAGAAAAAATAAAAAATGAACTAGGCTTCAAATTCTCTTATCTATCTACTCCAACTTTTAATTATGCTTCCTTTTTAAGACATTTAGATTACGCTGAATTGATTTCAGCTATTAGAAGTTTTCATTTCATTTCAATGGAGGACGAAATTTTTGAAGAGAATATAATTTTTATGATTTTTGATCTGATTCGAGAATTATTTGTGACGTCTGGTTCTAGATTAATTAGTTTGAGAGTTACGCTTTGTGATAGTTTAGAGTGTCTTGCGGGATTTTATGATCCGAATTTTCGTAATTGGATTTCAGGAATCCATAATTTATATGTTGTTGGTTTAAACGAGGAGACGTGTCCTAGTTTGCAGATTTTAGCGAAAGATTGCAAATATTTGGTATGAGTTTCGATTTATTTATATTTACAAGTTATTTTTTAATAATGTTCATTAAATATATACGTATCATTATTGTCATAGAGAAATTTAAGTATAAGCGCATGGCATTTCGAAACAAACAACAAGTCTCAAATTTTAGAAGATTACATAGTCGATTTTCTAAACTCCCAACGAAATCTTAAAAATCTCTCAATTTTCAGTTGCAGCGGGATCACGCAATTAATAATGCAAGCTTTAAAATCGTGCTCATCCTCACTCGAGCATTTATCATTGGAGAACCTTGATTTTGACAGATGCACAAAATGGGATAACTTCAATACATTTAACAATCTTAATAAATTAACGATATTGGATTGTTTTAATCTGCCACCGGAGATGGTTCATGCTTTACTCAATTGCAAGTTTTCAAAGCTATGGCGAGTCAACTTGCAAGAAAAATCAAGCTTGTTTTTGTATCCTGAGGAGTTGTTGAATTGGGCGAATCGCGTGAATGCCATGAATCCTGAATTCAATAATTTACGACAAATTGAAGATTCTGATCCAAGAGTATGGGTGAGTTTTCACATTTTTTAGTTTCTTGTATTGAGTTGAAACTTACTTATTTCAAAATAAATCAATAAATAGAATTTCGGCAATTGGATGTGTTTGAAAAATAAAAGTACGCAAGTTGTTTTGTCGAATGTTCGTAGTAGTGTTTGTAGTTTCTTTGACCTTGTTTATATTGTCAATGTGTTTAAATTTTTTCTTTTATTTTATAAATTTATTCTGAAAAAATAAGGCAATTATTTTTATATCGTGATTTTGTAAATATATTTAGAGTTAACCTTAATCATTTTAACGTATCGGTATGTATTTGTTAGCGGGTATTGAGTGTTTGAGCGGAATGTTGGAGTTAAAGTTGTTCTAGAGTGAATATTTAGAAATATAGTAGTACATGTATTTTGAAGGTTATGTTTTATATTTCAAAGAATAAAATAACGTTACAATTGGATACTTATAAACATATTTTCCTTGATGCAATTCTCGTATTTTTAATCTAACTCGCCTTTCCATTTTTTGGCGCGGTCATGTCGTCGTTACCACACGACATGTGTCTAACGACAATCACGTGATTTTCTGGCAAGTGGACAAATCAATTTTTTGTCGACATCCTTTGCTTTTATCGAACTTCCACAAAAATCTTGATAGGTTTTCCCTTATCGTTATTTTTGTGTTATTACCGATCTATCTAAAACCCCAATATTGATGTTATGCCAAAAATCGAAAAAAATTATTATTGATTTAAAAGTGGAAGAAATTAAAATAGCTGCTATTTTATCAGATTATCAAGGTATATAAATGTTAATTTTTAAATGAAATTAGTTAATTTATGTATTGGTTCGATATTTAGGGAATGCTTACGCAGCCCATAAACTCAAGCTTATTATTGAAGAGGTTTTAAAGAAGTAAGAGTGTTTCAAGCGATCCAATTAACATTGTCTCCTACTTAAATAACGCGCATCATAGTTATTTTATTGTCCAACTTCGAGATGAACAAGCTGAAACTTGTAAAAAATATGTTGCACTAATCAGACCAGCAGTAACCCGATGGAATAGTATTTATGAATCCTTTAATAGCATCCTAAAATCAAAGCATGCATAAGTGGTAAACTTAATTTCTCTCAAATTGTTAGGATAAAATGCTTAATAAAATCACAAATAAAGAATCTAAATCTAGGATTAATTATAAAAAAATATTTTCCAACAAATTCATAATAATTTAAAATTATTTCTTCACTAGTGGTTGGATTCGAATATTCGTAACAAAGATTTTCTTTTATTCGAAAAATCTTCATTAAACCCAACAAATAACACGAAGAGAATATTTTATTCGAAATCGATTATTCTTCTCGAATAATCAATGTTATGTGCAAAAATGAACCAAATTGACTATTCAAAAAGTCGTGGAGCTCACGGGTTCATTCCAACAAATGAACAATGGGAAGATTTACGATACCCTTTTTTGATACATTATTTTTTCTTTTTAAACTTGAATACAATAAAGTCGATCTAACACTGAAATTTTTATATTAGATAGGATTACCACCTTTGTAGCAATATTTTAACTTTTATTCATTATTTACAAATGGGATATATTCATTTTCCGTCAAAAAATAATCGAGATCATCTGCCATTTGAAATTGAACAAACAATGGTAAGACCAATAAGTGTGACAATTGTTATTGTTCGAATCCAACCACTATTTCTCCACCACTTGACACACTTCATAATCCACAATATTAAAATACTTTTTTGTTCCGTCAGAACTCAACAAACCATGATCGTAAGAGGAGGATTTCTTACAGTAATTATTAGTCGTATTAAATTCGGGACCAACCAACATTAAATCCCAATCCAAATTCCAATCCCAACCATCTCCAAACAATGGACCATGAACTGCATGGCATCCCACACTCGTTCCTTCTTTATATTTGCTTAGAACTCCATTGATAGCTTGAATGTCATCAGAATTAAATTCGAATAAAAAACTATTTAAGTCTGAGTAGTCTCTGCCAAGTGAATTCCATTCAAATGGATTATAACCACCAATAATCTTTTCCTCATCTTTTATGCGAATAACAACAACTGTTGGACCTTTATTATCACACAACCGATGAAAGTCGGTATTCTTAAATCCATCACGACTACCTCGCAGT